AGATCCAAGTATACCTTCAAGTAAATCTTTAAAATCAACATCGGCTGTAGACTGGTCTTCAAATTCCACCATACATTTACCACTTACAGGAGATACCTTAACACAAAATTTAAAAAAATAAATTATTTGCAAAATAACTAAATTTCATAAATGTTTTGTTTAAACAGTAAATATTTAAAGGTACATTGTTCATCAAAACCAAGAGATACAGAATGACTTTAATTCTTCTTTATTTCTGGTAATACTAAAAGAAAAAAGCAATTAATTTTATACCAAACTGGTAATTTCATAATTACCCTATTAACTTTGACAAAATAAAACAAGCCATCAGTCCATCTAGCCAAAATTTTGTCTTTTTTCTTGTCTTTTAATTTCAGATTTAGATGCATCTTCTGATCATCATGCTTTTGAGGTTTCATGTCTGGTGTTTTTATTAGATTAGAGGCGTTTTTCTTTAGAATTAGACTGCAGCAATCATTTTCTCGTGTCGAATCCTGAAACTAAGTTAAAATAATTTTAGTAATTTTAAAGAAGATAATAAATAAATAGAACTACATTATAATTGTTTTAGTGCAGGCAACATGACACCCTTGTTAACTACAATGCAAACACAACAGTAATGATGAGTAATGATTATTTGCCTTTGGCAGCACATCACACCCTTCATTCCTTCTCCAGGAATGCACCCCACAGTTTGGGAAAGACTGCTCTTGATAAATATCTAGACTTGTCTAGTCATTCAACCTGACTACTCTCTTGATCTAAACATGACACAACCTGAGACAGTATGTACTAGATCTGTACCACAGTTATAGATCTAGTAGAAGTACCAGAGGGAGAGTCTATGACATGGACAGTAGATGTGTACAACAGTTTGAGTACTCTCTAGATCTATATTAATCTAGATTTAGATTTTAGATGTAGATCAGTAACAATTTAACTGACTCTAGTATTATTATTTAATAGATCTAATCTAAAGATCTAATTCGCTACAACTAATCTAATAAGACTAGTACAACTCGGTCAACAGGCAAGGATGAAGATGTAGTCAGAGGATGAATTTTTTTTATTTTTTTTTTAAAGGTTAAATTGTTAGATCTCTCATCTGGGCTAGTTTCTCTAGTTTAGCCTACCCTAGATTCTATATTGCCCTACATAGACTCTAGAATATCTAGGTCTAGACTAGGGGGTGGATACTCTACTCTTTCTCTTAGTAGTCTTAGTTACACTCTTGAGTTACAGCAACACTGACTACACTACAGTAACAGGGTAGTCTCTAAGTCTAACAGTAACACGACTCTCGATCTGATTTTTAATGATAATGAGTCTCAAATTGCAGAACTAGAGAAAGACTACGTTAGAAAAATTTCACTGAATGGTTCTGATTTAATTTAGTTCAATAAATGTGTAAAATAATGTTAAATCAAACCATACATATGTCCAGAAAAGAAAGTTCCGTTACTTAAGAGTTTACTATCACTACCATACAGATTATCAAATTCAACACAAACTCCCGCCATGTTCCGCTATGAGTGTATGAATTTTAACTAAAATGTTTAGTTATATAAAAAAAAATAATTATCACAAGCTTTTAAAAATAACTTAAAAACGTATGTGTTTTTTATCTTGAATAAATATATATGAATGTAAATAGCACAAGTTTAAAAAATAATTAATAGGAGAACTATATGCTTGCTAGTTGCTATTTCCGTTTTCCTAGTTTCATACCACTATGGTGTTTCCGCGGGTTTTTTTTTTTTTTTTTTTTTTTTTTTTTCCGTTGTTGTTGAAGGGAATGTACTCAATAAATTATAAGTTTACTAAGTTATCCATCTTTTTTTAAAATTTCCAGCTACACAATAAATAAAAAAAAAGTATCCAATTTGTAGGTTCTCTATCCCCTGATTCTGGAGGTTGTGCATACATAGTTCGTCCATCGTGGTTCGATGATGACCATTTTGTCATCTAGGGGCTGAGGGCTCTGTACTGGGGTTTTATGCCTCCTCGTGTGGCTGGTGAGACCTAAGTGAGCCCGGAATGTTCGGCTGCACACTGGGCAGGTTATTCCAGCTGGAGCTAGTGTCGTGGGCCGCGTTTTTCTTCTGCCAGCGTTGTTCTTTTCCTCGGCAACCTGTGCGCCAGTTTTCACAGTGCGACGTCATGATGCTCTGTCATGTGCCTCTGTCGCCCACAACACAAACTGCTGTATAGTCTTGATTTGAAATGTAAACTAAGAATGTATTTATTTTCCTAATCTTTATATGCTCTCGAATTTCAAAAGTAAGCACTAGACCAGCTTGTATAAACATATTTTTAGATACTGGAATATTAAATAATTAGATTTTAATTTTTATTCGACTCTAATAATTGAACAAAATTGTTCAGCGTGAGTATTTTGGAGTACTCAACACCTCTCAAATTTTCCTTAGCAACCATTGCTTATTTATGGTAACTAAGGCTAAAAATAATTACTTCTCAAAATTACAAAATTAAAAATAATGAAAGCCTGTGTAGTCTAATTAATTTTAAGTGAGAAAATATAAAACTAATTAAGATATCTCTGAAATATTTCATACACATTCTTAAATTTGTGTCTACAGCATGTCCATTTCTTGCTCTATCTTACAGATTACAGACGTGGCTTCAGAAGATAAAATCATCACGTGCTACGCATGTCACGTGTCAATGTTGTCATGCATTTTAACCAATGACTTAAGCTCTGGTAAGTCGTTGGTTTCCCTGGCTAATGCAGGCAACCCATTTCATTCTCTAATGGCTGTATGGAAGAAGGAGCACTTGTATGCATTTGTACTACCATATAAAATAACAAATTTGTCTGTCTTTCTGAGTATTTTATTAGCATATGTTTTTCTATTTGTAAATTTTGGTTCAGTGTTTTATGTATTATTTATACTTAACTTTTTAAATCTAATCAAATGTGAACATTCGTTTGTTTCACTGCTCTATTTTTACGTTTGTTCTAGTTTCTTTATGTTTTCTTGAGTTGAGAGATCCAAACAGAGGATGCATATTATAATGTTGAATCAAATTTGTTTAATCTCTCAAGGCAACGCTCACTTTCTTCTGGGGCACATGGTAGGCTACGTGTTGTTACTTTATTGCTCAGTACGATGATTTTATATAGAACTAGAACTTATAAATGTAGGCCTACCTATATACAAATTCTTTACTCGTTCATCTCAATTCATTGTCTGCTCGAACCATTTGGCAGAAATTGAGATGGCTGAAGCTATCAGTATACTGGACCGTTTACACACATTTTTCTCGACTTCAGCACACCGCTAGGACGTCCTCACCCAAATAACCGGAACTAGCCTTAAGCGCTTTGTTAAAACTCACTGGAACGCCAAAGAAGCCGTAAGGTGGTTATGGATTTTCTAAAATTATAGAAACTCTAGAGACATTGACTAGTATAGATAAAAACTGTTCTACTAGATCCGAAGCATGCGGATTATTAGTCCGGCCTACTATGCAGTCTTCATTTTCTCACCTATCTTGGGTTTATCGCCGTTGAAAAGACGCGTAAGTGTACCTTCAAAAACAGGGATTGTCCATTCGAGACTGCGCACTCCAACGGAAAAGATTAAAAGCATTCTTAACACTAGTCGAGAGAACATCGCTAAAGCCAGTGTTACCTCAGCCTAAAGCATATGCTCAGATTTGGTGATTGGCGCAGAACCTCAGAAACATAATGGCCACAAGAAAACGATGCTAGGCGAAAAAAGTGAGGATTCTGTTTGGACACACTAGAAAGCGCTATGAATGGAAATGTATTCTTTCTTGGACGAGATTGTTCAAGAAATAATCATCCGATACGACCAATATCATGATGTGGTAGGTATAAACGAATTTTATTCCCACCTAAACTAGTGAATCCTCATATTGAAATGAATATTGATAGTACTCATAGCGACATTGACAAAACAAAAATTTCGTCTGGAACGAAAGAGTTTTCAACGGTTTGTGCAGTTGCTTCAGAATCGTTTGAACTTCTGAAACAAACACCTGTTTTCAGATATTTTTGTGTACAAAAGATATCGGCGAGATCATTCAAATGTTAAATTTGAATAGTATAACTAAATGCTAGCGAAGTTTTGTCAGACTTAAGTTGATAAAGAATTCATTGCAATCAAAGATGAAACATTTACGACTCACTAATGTAGCTATTGATGACACAAAAAAAAAAAATAATTTTTTTCGATAAAATTATTGATAAGATAACTTTGCGAGCAAGAAAGCATGTAAGATTTATTTATAGTATCTTTTTGTTAAATAGATTTTTTTTTCGCAAAGTAGCAATACTTTGACAATGAATACACATTAAATCATTAGTTTGCGATAAAACATCTATTCGCGGTTTTATTTCACTATTTGGAAAGGATGGGGAATCACTTAGTGCGCGTACCACAGTTTGAAAAGCACTAGACTAGGCGACATGTAGAATGTTAGTGTACCAGTAACTGAAATGTAGACTATAGATAAGTAAAGAAATAGATATTCATCAACTTTTATTTTTAAACAAGATATTCTGGAGTCATTTAGAAACAGGTTTATTATAATGTCGTCCTAGATATCAATGTCATTTCATTAATTAAGTGAATATGGGTGTATGTGTGTGTTAATCCAACAGTAGCCTAGCAAATGTCTTTGTACATGTATCTATAGTTAATAGTCAACATGAAATAGGTATTGTCTCTTGTTAGTCACCTCTGTTTAGGGACTCAGAACTTTATTGTATGGAAAATATTTTTTCCCTTGATAGTTATGTCTCAAAATGTATGATGCTGTGTTTTTTAAGACATGTAAGTTTAACACAAAAAGTGATTTAAAAAAGAAATCTTTATAGTGAATTTGATGTGATATAAGAACTCTTCTTTAATTAATAATAACATTTCACAAAAGAGAACCACACAGTTCATTAGGTGACTACACACAGACATCTTGCTCTTTTTCCAATTCTATAGACAATGAGTAGCACTGATACAATCTGGATGAAGGAACAGCTGATACAAACTGGACGAAGGAAACAGTGGATACAATCTGGATGAAGGAAAAGCTGATACAATCTGGATGAAGGAACATGCCAGAGTTTTTGTACACCTTGACTTAGTTGACAAAGTTCATTTAAATATGGCACGGTTATGTGTGTGGTTTTCATTCTTTAATGAAATCTAAAGAATCTACACTCTCTGTATTGAAGAGTCTTCAAACACACAATTTAAATGACACAGTGTGGAGGAGTTTAGATGATACAACAGTATGGGTGACACAAGTCAGTTTAGATGACACAACAGTATGGGTGACACAGGGAAGCTTAGATGACACAACAGTATGGGTGACACAGGGGAGTTTAGATGACACAACAGTATGGGTGACACAGGGGAGTTTAGATGACACAACAGTATGGGTGACACAGGGGAGTTTAGATGACACAACAGTTTGGGTGAAACAAGAGTTTGGATGACATAGTTTGAACATAACAGTTTGGATGACACCATAAATTACAGATTATTGTATACACTAGCAGATTTTGTACCAATATTTATCAATAATTTTGTCCAGAAAGATGTAAACAACTCAACAGTAAAAGAAATATTTCCATATTCTTTTAAGTCAATGTTCATTTAAACATGATATTTAAATACATGATGAGAAAATTAATCTTAATTAGAAACCAATATACAATTAATATTACCAGTACTCTCAAAATGAACAAAATCACAAGAAGACAGGAGATTTAGAATTTGCTTTATTTAATATTTCTTGGTGACCAAGTGGTTAGGTGACTGAGGGGCTTGATCCTGGTGGGGGTTGTTTTTTTTTATGTCAAACAGGATATCTAGGATTCTACTAGATGGATGGGGTACCTGACATTTACCAGGGAAAAGTATGGAGTGGTTGTGTAGGACACTCTGCTTGGTTGAGCTCAGAAGTATGACAACCCAACATTACTTTCCCCTCAGATCTAATTGAGCTAAACAAACAACAATGATCAATAACTAGAACTAGAATATAAATTGTGAAAATAACAAAAAATCTATTCTTTCAATTTGTTTTTGTTAACATGTCATCATCATCATCATCATCTTCTGTCCTGTGTGGTGCCAAACCTCCAAATACTTCAGAAGGAACTGTTTGTTGTTCCACTTCCATTTCTGTAGTGAGTAGTGAAACAAATATAACATTTAAAAAAACAAACAATTTTTGTTATAAGTTAATTTTTTTCTTCTATTTCTTCTTAAATTGCTTGTATATAGCACATCTTTCATGCTTACAGCATGCTCAGTGCGCTATGGTCAAGTCTCTTATGTGAACCAGTTGGGGAAGGGTGTATCTGGAAGAAGGTTTCCCTGTTGCCTTTATGTGCTCAGTAAGCATAACTCTCCTCAAGTTGGGATTCAAACTCAAGCTCCCTAATTAGGTAGCCAAGTGGTTTTGGCCTTTAAGCAACATATCCCTTTATTATTTTATGATTTATACATAAAAATTAATATTGTGGTGCACATATTGCAAATACTGCAATTAATTTGATTGAATAGAAAATGGGAAGCTAATAATTCAGAAATTAAAATACAAATCTCCTGAAACCTACCTTTTACTTGAATTTAAAGTTATAAAATTGGACTATTAGATATTAAATTAAAATCATAACAAGAGTTATAGAATTTAAAAAAAAAATATTACTCTGACCTTCCACTTCTTCTTCCTCATCTGTATCATCCTCATCATCATCAATATTAATTTCATCAGGATTGTTGGTCTTGGTAAGTTCTCCAAGTTCTTCTTGTGTGGTGCTGCTCCTGAACAACAAAATGGTGAATAAGTTAAACCTTTAATTTAGTTTGAATAAACACAAATCCCACATAATGTTCAACATGAACATGAGTTAAACATTACACTTAATTAATATCAGAATGATGCACATATGACCAAAAAAAAAGAAATTTCATTGCAAATGTGGATGACATCACCAAAAAAGGACAACTGTTATTCAGAACAACTTGATATGCAAAAAAGAGGTATTTAGTGATTGTTACATGAAGGGAAAAAAAAAATTCTACATTTTCAAGTAACCACAGGACAGTATAGTTTGACTTTATGAAACTAAGAAGAGAATATGAAATAAAGCTAACAACAAGAAAAGTTATATTTTGTATATCCTTCAGTCAAAAAGTTAGGACTATTGCTGTTCTTTTGTCAATCAAAGAGTGAATGCCAAGTATTAAATGATGCATCTGCAGGACAGAATTTATCAGTCATTTCAGAGTATCATGCCACAGTAAAAAAAATCAGCTGTGACAATTCTCAAGGCAAAGTTCACCACCAGTTGCTTGAATTATTCAGGCCTGAACATCATTAATGTTAATTAATTGCAACCCTGACAATCAACACCATCATTAAGCCATGACTTGACACTAAAAACTGTGCGCAAATTAGCAGCAATTATTGGATGAAGATGTCTAGCTAGTCTTTGGGAACTGCTAAACATGAGAAAAATAGTGAAACACTTCTGTAGTTGGCACATTACTCTAAATTCACCAGTGAATCTTAAATCCTTATATTTATAGTATACTAATTTTTCTTCTTCCTCATTCTCATTATTATGTTGGAGCATTCAGATGACTACACCAATATTTGAGATGAACTGCACAGTGGTTTCCAAATCACGGAGCTCTCCATATAGGTTTCTTTCCATTGGGGTGTTTTGGGGCCAGTGTCTTGTTCTTGTTTCTCATAAAGAAAAAGTAGAGCAGCATTGTAAAAGTGGATATCAGCTTTGAGCAGTTAAAGTAATAATAACATGATTGAGACCTCCTGAGTTGATTCATTGTCCTCCCTAATCTCCATTTTTAGTGTAAAGGAATTTCCCTACAAATGTTTGAGTCACAGTGATAATACGTCTATCTTGAAATAGCTATTGAGCCAAGAGCTTTATCTAGGCTTAAGCTATATTATTGTCCTAGAGCCACTGACCTAACAAACAAGAGCTTTTTCTCAGCTTGGGCTTTTTCTTTGAGGGATTCTTGTGCTAGTTGCCTTGCTCGTGCCTCTAGTTGTTGCATTTCATTACCCTCTTCTGTCAAGAGAAAATAAAATATTAACTCCTTTTGTATTTAGATTATAATCTCTAAGAGCTTGTAAGTTGAACGTTACATGTAGAAACTAAGTCAAATAACAAACCTAAATTTATATTGTCTTGTTTCTTGGTCTGTGCTGCTAACATCTGAGCTGACATAAAATTGACCTGAAAAAGAAATCAAATGGTTAAAAATATAATTTAAAATATGGGGGAGTTTGAAGAGTATGAGGTAAAATAATTGGAACTCCAAATGAGATTTCATAACTTTCATTTGGAAACAGACCTATAACGATAGCTGCTGGAAGGAACTTCTTTGAAAGGTTTCAGTATTATGTATTATTAGATGGCTACAAATCTACACTATTTCATGATTTTGTTATGTCATTGAGACTAACCTGTGTATTATATGTTGCTTGCACACTTCTCTTTATTCTCAACATTTCACGGACAGTGTCTTCATTGCCATGATTGATCTCAAACTCTTTCCAAGACTCCCAAAACTGAGGGGCAACCTGAGAAGCATTGTTTTAAGAGTAATGTGTTTAAAGAGATCTCTGAGACAATCATTAATAACAAATAATGTAAGAAAATTGAAGCTCATTAAATGAAAAATGTAAAAGAAACAAAATTAGATTATATATACGTTATCAGTTTAACAAGAAGTATAAAACACTCTATTCAAAAAAAAATTACTATCATGTAATGAACATCCAATTTTTTGGTTTTTTTATCATCATCTGTCCCTTGACTTTCATCATAAGGGTGCTGTGACAGTTTGTGTAACCAGATCCCTACTATTTATGATCAGCAGCTGTTCTTAGCAAGATACCAAGAGAGTTACTGGTCAATTTTTGTGTCTGGTTCAGCCAGCTTTTCTTTGGCTGACCCTTTCTTCTTATTCTTCCCCCCTCCCCCTGTACCTTGAGAGGATGACTTGACAGTAAGTCATGTTTAACAATATGACTGAACCAGCTGAGTTTTCATCTCTTTTGAGTATTGAGTATAGACTTGTTAAAGAATTAACTTATTTGTCTTCTTTTCCTAGTAGCTGATACCCAGCATTTTTGTGTAGCATTTACTCTTAAACGTTTGAAGTCTTCTTTCATTGTTGTCTTTAAATTCAAATAATGAATTAATAGATTATTAAATAAAAAAGACTAGTACATGAAATGAAATCTTACCCTGGGATCACTAATCTGTGACCCATGAGCATATATAGCCCGAGCTCTGTCTATCTCTCCAAGTTTTTTTTCTAGATCAGCAAATCGTAAGCACATTTCTCTGCAATCATAATAAAATCAAAACACAAAAATATGTGCAAGCAAAGAAAAGCAGGCCAAATAAAACTTAGCTTGAAATGGTAAATTCATGTGAAAACTTTACCTTGCTTGGTCATTGGGCAAAACCTCGATAGCTTTCTCATAGATTGTTCTAGTGTGAGTCACACCATACACTTCTGCTGCTTTCTTGATGTAAATATTAAACATCTGGAAGAGAAAATGTTAATTTTTTTAAAAAAGGAAGAGAAATGAAAAAGCAATAGGACGCAATTTAAAATGCTTATTTTAAACCTTAAGAATAGAAGCAAAAATTTAAAAAATCGATTTGGAAAGGTTGACCTAATTTTTAACTATAGCATGTTACTGAACTTGAAAAAGTGCTTACTTAATCCAAGAACTAGCAAAGGAATAACTGAAGATTATTCATTTTTTTTATTCCTCACCTCCACCAAAGTGGAAGAATTATAATGACTGAGATGAGAGTCCCTATACACATTCTATACAATTAGTTAAAGTAAGTCAATAAAAAGTGGAAGTGAAAAGTCAAAGCTAAATGCAGAGAAAGAACTTATGCCAGATTTAGAGAACTGATATCTTTATTGTGAATTAAGTCTTAAAATGATAAAGCTGATGGTTTTTTAAAACTGAAACAGACCTTTCAAATATATACCATTTTAAAAGACTGTATTTACAAAATGAACTTACTTTATATTGTTCCTCTGGTAGCACTGCTCGTGTTGCTCTGTCATAAACAGCCATAGCATGACGTGCCATTCCATGTTCCATTTCAAGTTTAGCATACAGTAGATAAATTTCTTTGGAAGCAAACAAAGAAAAAAACAACTTTACTTATTATAATTAGTGCTTTGGGCACATTCCATGCTCCTACATAAGGCCGAGTGAACTCTCAATCTTTTTAGTGGAGTTGTAGGAAGATTTCTTT